TAAATTTTTAGTCGTTATGTGTTTTTCTTATTTTCAATTTTTGTATACTTTAATTGATTTTGGTTGAAGTTCAAAAATGAACGTTTTCTACCTGTATTGAAATAATCACTTTTTTAACAATTAAACGTTAATGGCACATCTATGATAACACAATTTTCAAAAATGAAGTGTTTGCAAAAATAAAGTAAAGAAAATTACTGGAGGGCATAAACGTCCTACAAACCATTTCGTGCCGCGGTCGATGTAAGGGGGTCAAATCACTTTACAATACATTTTTCATACGATTTTCAATTAAAAAATACCATGGGCTACTCCGGCATTCGAAACTCATTGCATGTACGAGCGGAGAAGTATGTCTTTAAAGGCATATATTTTTTATTAAGTAAAGCAACTTGTTTGCCATACAAGTAAAACAAAGAAAATCTTAGATAACCTTTGGACGAAAAATTTATTAATGTGTCCTCCATGGGTGTTGAAAGAAGCAATAAAAAATATTGTTCAGAAGTAATGGTTAGATCGTAAATCAACTGTATTAATTGCGAAAAATCAAGAACAGCTAGATAACGTATTTTATTACCGTCAAACCGAATTGATATAACCAGACTTCAACAAATTTATTGCAAAAAGTTATTACTAAAGCAATACCAACAACATCATCAATGTAAGATAAAGGTCCCGGGTTCGAATCCAAAAACACCGGTACCCGGAGGGTTGATTTAACGTCTGCTGTTGCCAACCCTCTCAACAGAAAAGAAAATTTATTAAAACAAGAGAAATAGGTGTATACAAGGAAGGTAAAAATTAAATACATGAAATGTATGTGCAAGCCATAACCAAAACAATAATGTGTGGTGATTAATGACCGTTTGTCGATGATTATCAAACACTTTGAGAACACAGAAAACAAACACTTTGAGTGAGTGGAAATACTTTGATTAAATAAAAAAAAATTATTTGCATTGTATAAATTCACTTTTTTCACTTCACTACATATTTTTGTTAGATTTAAACAATGTTTGTAAATCCCAGCCCCTGAAGATGATCTCAATAAAGATCGAAACGTTGGCACGATGAAAAATATGTTTTTTTTCTAACCTACATCACACCAGACCTCATGGCACGATTTCTGAATAATCAAAATAATAATAAAATATTTGAAACCTGACAGAATAGAAAGTAACATTAAATTGTACAATTATATAAAACAATGAAATGGGTTTGACAATACCAAAATTAAAAATGAAAAAGAAAATCTAAAAACAAATAAAAATGACAAATTTGTAAAAAGCAAAGTAATATATAAAAATGTAATATAAAAGTGTATAAAAGTATAACAGTATTCAATTAAAAAAAAAAACAAGTACTATAATAGGATAAAAATTATATAACAAACTTAACAATGTAAATCTTGTAAAAAAGACATTAAAAACAATAAGCAAATAAAAGTCTTGGAAATAAATCACTTCTTGAATCAACTGTCTTAATTGCGAAAAATCCAGAGCAGCTAGATAATACATTTTACGATTTTCAAAACGAATTGAGACAACAAGACATCAACAACTTTATAGTAGAAAGTTATTAACTACAAAAACAACAACAATTAAAAACAATCAGAAAATAAAACGACTGAAAATAAATCACTTCTTCAATCAACTGTCTTAATTGCGAAAAATCAACAACAGCTGAATAATTTATTTTATGATTGTCAAAACCAATTGAGACAACAAAACTTCAACAACTTTATTGAAAAAAGTTAATAACTACTACTACTACTACTACTACTACTACTACTACTACCACTACTACTACTACTACTACTACTAGTACTACTACTACTACTACTACTACTACTACTACTACTACTACTACTACTACTACTACTACTACTGCTACTACTACTACTGCTACTACTCCTACTACTGCTACTACTCCTACTACTACTACTGCTACTACTGCTACTACTCCTACTACTGCTACTACTGCTACTAATGCTACTACTGCTGCTACTGCTGCTACTACTCCTACTACTGCTACTACTCCTACTACTGCTACTACTCCTACTACTACTACTACTACTACTGCTACTACTCCTACTACTACTACTACTACTACTACTACTACTACTACTACTGCTACTACTACTACTGCTACTACTACTACTACTACTACTACTACTACTACTACTACTACTACTACTACTACTACTACTACTACTACAGCAACAACAACAACAATTAAAAACAACAACAACAAAAATTAAAAACAACAACAACAAAAATTAAAAACAATCAGCAAATAAAACGACTGAAAATAAATTACTTCTTCAATCAACTATCTTAATTGCGAAAAATCAAGAACAGCTAGATAATATATTTTGTGATTTTCAAAACGAATTTTGATAACAAGACTCCAACAACTTTATTGCCAAAAGTTATTAACTGCCACAATAACAACAACAATTAAAAACAATCAGTAAATAAAACGACTGAAAATAAATCACTTCTTCAAACAACACTCTTAATTGTGAAAAGTCCAGAACAGCTATATATATATTTTATGATCGTCAAAACGAATTGAAAGAACCAGACTTGATCAACTTTATTGTAAAAAGTTATTAACTGCAAAAACAAGGGTCAGAAAATGAAACTTGTTATTATCAAGAAGTTATGGAGGTATACTAATTAGTTTGATAATAATACATTATTATTTTCGATTATTACATTTTTTATAAGTTGAATATCCAATAGTTTATTAAATTCGATTGTCGTGAAATTTTTAAAATTCTGAGGCGAAGAGCCGCTGAATAAAGCCTTTTCACTCGGTTCTGAATTCTTTAGAAAAAGGAATCCCTTATGACTTAGCCTCATGTGTAAACCTATTCGGTAGGGTTAATGAAAGAAAAATTGTTCAACGAAATGAAATTTTCCCGGAACGAGCCACCTTTAATAATTGGCATTATGGGCCAAGGAAATGGGGCTCTCGCTGAGAATTTAATACCGCCTAGGTGAATGAAGTTGATCCCGGAAGAGAATGGCAAAATATTAGAGGGCTGTAAAGGTGATCCCGCTGCCGAGGAGACTAATAAAGACGCACTGACATTGCTAATTAACTCTTTAACTGCAAGCCATTGCATATTCCCTTCCTCATTACGATATTCATCGGAAAATAAGAAACGGGGAGGAAAAGAGTTCTGGACGGCTTTAACTTTAAAACTTTAAAAAATAATTTAAACTTTTAACATTTAAAAAATAAATTTACGGGGGCGTCCTTCCCTCCAACGGTTTAGGAATTGTCAGGGCACTCTTCACTCTAAGGTAAAGGATCGGGGTTCGAATCCATCTTCAAACCTGACATACTTACAAATGAGCTTTTTTTCAAAAATCCATATTTTAATCTCTCTCTCTCTCTCTCTCTCCTCCTCTCTCTCCCTCACACTGCCGCTCTTTTGAGTCTCCCTCTGCCTCCATTTGTGTCTCTCTCTGCCTCTCTTTCTCTCTCTCACTAATTTTCCCTCTCTTTCTCTCTTTTTTTTTCTCTCTCTCTCTCTCTGCATCTTTCTCCCTTTTTCTCTTACTCATTCGGCCTCTCTATCTCTCTCTTTCTCACCCCATCTCTCTCTCTCTCTGCCTATTTCTCTCTTTTTCTCTTACTCATTCGGCCTCTCTATCTCTCTCTTTCTCTCCCCATCTCTCTCTCTCTCTCTCTCTCTCTCTCTCTCTCTCTCTCTCTCTCTCTCTCTCTCTCTCTTTCTCTCTCTCTACATATACATATCTCTCTTTCTTTGCCTCTCTTTCTCTCTCTCGCTGCCTCTCTATCTTTCTCTCTCTCTGCCTCTCTTTCTCTTTCTCTCTCTGCGTCTCTTTCTCTNTCTCTCTCTCTCTCTCTCTCTCTCTCTCTCTCTCTCTCTCTCTCTCTCTCTGGTTAAACTCCCTCTTCCTCTTTCTTGCTTCTCATTGTTTTATACCTTATTCTCCTTCTCTATTTTCTTTTTATTTACGTCGAATCTCATTTTTCCCTCACTACTTTCTCTTCATGTCACCCTGTCTGTCCTGTTACTTTCTCTCTTGCCAACTTCTACATCTGTACAATCTCTCTCACTCAATTATTTCACCTCTTGCTTTCCATCCCCTTGATATTTCAGACGACCTTTGTTTGTGGGTCAGATTTTCTGTTATTGTTTGACGACAAAATAAGACTAAAATTGTTGCTCTTTAATAATGATGAAAGGAAAACCGATTTATAGAAACTGTCATAATTTTTACTCCTGCAGAACTGATTCAAGTCACTTGCAGCATATAGTACATTACATTCGACGACTTTTGACCTTTTTGTGGCTCCTTGTTAAATTAATTGAGTCAATGGAAGAATTTTCTGCATCAAAATAATAATCTTGGTTTTGATAAGCCTGGTAAAAAAGGGAAAACATTGTTGAAGTTTATTTTTATTTTTACCTGGACAGTATATAGAATCACCTAGTCAATTTTGTACAGGTATTAATATTTAAAATCATGTATAATCGTTCTAAGATATAGCTATGAAGTTGTGCGTATTACATTAAATATGTACGTAAATCACATACGCAATTGTGAGCTTCATAAACAATAAAAAATCAACGGCTTATTACGATAAAACAGGTTATTTTGAAATTGGCATTTGGTACGTCTTGAAAAAATGGAATAAGAAGTGTAAAAGTATGGAAATCGCCTCTGAAGAGGCCCTGAGCTAAAAAAAATAATCTGATAACTATTATTTATTAATTGTGTAATAATTTAATCTTATATTTTATTCTTATTACATATTCTTATGTTTTAAACATTACCAATTAATTACAATTTTAAAGAAAAAAATTGGATTTGATTCTAGGAGTTACGTTAAAGTTAAAAGTGATTAATGGTTTGTAAATTTTACTTTGACTTTCTTATATGCTTTACTTGAATTACTACTGACAATGGAAATATTTTACAAAAAACCACATTCCAGTCAGATCAATAAAAAGTGTAGCATGTGTAAATTAAAATACCCATGTGATTTTACATGAAGCAAATGTAGTATCTTTTATATTCTACAACAATCTAAATTAATGTTGACGAGATTGTGAGCGAATCGGTTTCTTTCCTTCAGCGATGGCGGATGTTGCGCAACCTCCGTTCTATGAGGACCAGTTGCTCTGGCGTGTAAACCGTTGCATGTCCGACGCCCTTATCAAATCAAGTAACTTTTTTTTAGTTTGTTTGGTCATATCTTAGTTTTACGTTATCCTCTTTTCATAGCGTAACGGGGTTCGCCCTGATAAAAAAAATTAACCGGAAAACCGCCACGGTCAACCAGGCGAGTATTCTTGAACGTTCTTTAATCTTCTTTTTAATTTGACCTGTAAAATTTTTATTTTAAATATCACGAGCATAAACGAATCTGAAGATCTGGTTTAACAGCAGTTTAGGAGGAAATGTAAACTTACATATGTAGGGACCACTTTAGATTAGTATTTTTATGTTTGGACATCGGATATATTACTTTTTAAACACCATGTCTAATGGTTCAAAATTTCAGCTGATTTTTTTATTTTTTTAACCTAATTTGTATTTATCTACAACTGTATACAACTAGCCGATTGTATTTCAATTTATGTTTGTGGCAAAATGATACTAAAATTTTGGATTGAAAACTTTGTAATCTTTGTATATTGGATATTTGGCCGATCCATAAGCTTGGCACCCGTATATCCAAGTAGATTTGAGTAGGCATGTGTATGTCGAAAGTTTTGATTTTATTGGTAATTTTGATTGTCGGTTGAGTAGGCAATAAAGAATTTAAATCGTGTGTGTGGATTCCATGTTAGTCTTTCAAGTGTAAGTCCTAAATAGTTAAATTTATCGGAGGGAGGAATCATCGTTGTATAAGTGTATGCTAAGACAAGGACGGAGTGGAAAGGTGGTGATTTTAAGGGTTAAACTTTATTTTTACTACTCCATATTTCAATAGGTAAGGGAGCTGAGGGTTCTTTGGGATGAACCCCAAGACCGAACTGACGGTAAACCTAGCCAAGTGTGCTACTGTTTTCTAGTCTGAAATCATTGAGATTGAACAATGTGCCAGAGAAATAAAAAGTCTAAGAATACGTTCCCAGAAGGTAGAGGTTTCTCTGACAGCCAGGAAGCACTCAGGGGCGAAAGTCAGTGACTCTAATGACCTGACCCTGGCATGGGTCTCTGGACATTCGGGGCATAGAGGAAACCTCAATGAGTACCTATGAGCAAATATCCCAATCCGACCTGTGGGCCGAGGATTCGCCCACTCGAGATGACTGATCAATTAATTAATCTTTATGTAAAGTATTGGTTAAAAGGAGGGGAAATTCGAAAGGTAGGTTGAGATGGAGACTTGGTGTCCGAGTGGAAGGAAGTCACGATAGTTCAAGTGGTAGGGCAGCGTCGTATTGAGCCTAAGGTCGTGGGTTCGAATCCCGCTCGTGACACTAGCTTTTCCATTTCAATCAAGACCTTACATAAAAAGAATAAATAATTGAAAGAAGTCATTTGGTAATCAGATAAATAAACATAGTGGATTTAATAATCTTCTAAAAAGAAAAAAAAGAAATGGAATGTGACTGGAATGTGGTTCGACACCTTGCCAGAATAGGTAAACCTCGTTAAGCCGCTGTGTACGACAGGACTTATTTAACTTTGCTAATTTTTTATAAACATTAACAAATCATTAAAACGAAATTAATAATTAGTATGATTAACTTGTAATATTTTTAGAATTTCATAAGTTGTTTTATTTGCGCCTATATTTGTTGAAATAATTTTTGGATTGCTATATATTTTTATAATAATAAACCCTGCAGGATTTATTTTTGATACATTGTTTTAATTGTGGTATCCTCGACATTAAAAAAAAATATTTTTACTACAGGAGCAATAAATATTGGTATGTTTATAAGCATGAACAAACCTGAATAAAGGTCAAGTATCGTTGACATCACCACTAGGCACCGAGTCGTAAGAAATAGATGTACGATCACAATCAGATCAACAACCAATCGCCTTTGCGTGTCGCCCTCTCGCCTATTCTCCCTTTTAGGTTTTTTTCCTTCCCCCTTTTTTCGTTGCCGACAGATTGGAAGCAATAACAACAAAATATCGACGATACCATCCTAGCACGCGTCACGCCACCTCGCTTCCTCACCACCGTCGTAACGACAGGCTGTACTTCAAGCAACAACTGTAATAGGTAGAACTTAATTATAACCTCCGGTCGACTTCACACCACACACGCGAGTTTTGTAAAACTCAATATTGCGCCTTCCAGGAAGAAAGGTATAATTTGAAATTTAATTTCACCTACTCACCCGGCATTCGGGCTTGTCATTACACTTCAAAATCACAGAATGTGTGAAAAGTCAGGAAATTTCGAACGGCCCTTTTCCATAGATTGACCTATTAACTTCAAAACTTTAGATAAATCTTTGCGTTTATTTCATCAACAACCATCATTTTTTATACAAGGCATAGCTAATATAATTATTACTTTTACATCTTTTGCCAGCTTAATAAACAGATAAAAATAATTATTTATTGCAGTTTTCTCCAGCGGCATGACAATTTTGGCGGCAAAATTCTTCTATCCCAAAAGTAAATAGTCTATATTTTCATTTCCTAAGGAATAAAACTTATCCATATTAAATTTTCACAGTGAAGGCATCAAGTGCTGCTATCGCAGGAGCTGGTATTGGTTTGGGCATGGCATACTTAAATTGCGAAAGAGAATTGAAGTCTACCATGTCCACGCAGTGCTTAGAGGAAGAGGTAAAATATTACACTATATAATTTTAGTTTGAAGTGTTGGACGACCATTTTTATTTTACTCGCGAAGGATCTCGGTATGGACTGGTTGGGAAAAACAAATTCATTGATGCCAAGGCTTCGACCTATTTTAAGGTCATCATCGGGACAAAATAATCATAAAAATGTTGAAAAATTGACATAATTAAGTTTGTAATAGATGGTTTCGACTGTTAGGATGGTTTTAACATTTTTGGTCCATGATGACCTTAAGATTAGTCGAAAGCTTGGCATTATTAAGATTAGTCGAAACATTGGCAGATATCAATTTGTTTTTTTCAGACCATACCGAGGTCAAGATTACTCTTCTACATACCTTCTTGTTAAAGTGGTTCACGGAGAGCTTTAGTGAAGTATACTTCATTTTCAATCATTAAATTCACTAATTTCGTGGTCCGCTTGACCAATTAATATATTACAATTAATTAAGGTTTTTAGTTGAGATCCCGCTCGTGCCATTGACTTTTTTTCATCTCAACTAAAAACCTTAATTAATTGTAATGATTAATTGGTCAAGCGGACCTTAGTATACTTCATTTTAATTCATTAAATTCACTAATTTCGTGGTCCGCTTGACCAATTAATATATTACAATTAATTAAGGTTTTTAGTTGAGATCCCGCTCGTGCCATTGACTTTTTTATCTCAACTAAAAACCTTAATTAATTTGAAAAATATTGCTAATTCGAATTTCTTTTGATTATTTATACAAATAAAAATAAACTAGCAACTAAGAACACGAAAGACAAAAGACAAGAGCTTAAAATTTGATTCGGATTTTAACTTTAACAAAACTTAAACGAACCGACATAATGGAATTATATTGAAATATCGTCATATTATTTTATGGCTTCTGAGTGCAGTTTTTTTACTACTGGATCTAGGTTTTTTACACAAAAGTAGTAAGATCCAAACCTCTTTCAAATTTTTAACCTAGTAAACTTCAAAAATAATGCCAAAAGTAAAAACTACTTTTAAAACAGCAGGAAGGATTTTTTTCCTTTCAAAGTCAAACAGAAATCAAGTTAAATCCTCTACAAGAATCATATTGAAAAATAAATTTAAAAACATTTCTGACAAAAATACAAGATTGACTGAACTATGGAAACTTGATAGCATCTAACATCAAAAACAGTTATTTTAAGTCCCTACAATTATGCTCCCATCACCTCTGTTGACGTTGAAAAGTCTTTTTTGAGCTTCTTCCAAATATTTTTTAAACAATAAACGCTATAGTTTTACAGAAACTAATGTTGAAATGTATCTCATTGTCAATTTTAATTCAGATCAAAAACTTAATTGAGCCTAATTATTTATTTGTATAATTTTTTAAATTATATTTTTTGTCAGAATGAAATTTTTCTGTTTTATTTCATTTCAAAGTAATATGTACTAGACCAGAAACAATATGTCTGGGTTAAAAAAAAGAATGGTTCAATTAGTAATCGAATTATCTCTCTAACATACAGTCTATTTTAATATTTTTAGCGCAAATTGCGAAGCCTATTTAAGCGTTTTTAGAGCATACAATGTGACATGCTTGCGGGTATTTTAGTGCATATTATATAGAAAATTTGAGATTTTTCGGATAAAAAAATCCGGGCTCTAGTTATCAGCGTTTTTAAATTAAGTTTAATTGATAAAAATTTGATTTTTCAGTAATATTTAACATTAATGTAATACAGACTAAATATGACAGAATATTTGGCTCAAAATTTAACATAAGTAAAAAGAAAATATACCAAAAATTAATTAATTGTTTAAAAATTTTTTTGAATAATTGAAGGAATCTTTTCCTGACAGATTTTACAGCGTTTTGTTTTTTCACGAATGCAACTCACTTGAATTTAATGATGAAATAAAATTTAAAGAAGCATTAATATTTTATGAGTTAAGTGGGACCGTTGAGGAATAAAGTTGAGACCTTGATCTGGTCTGAAAAGTGAAATATTTCTAATTCAATTGAGGATCAGACTTTAAACAATAGAGGCTTTTTAGTCCAATTAGAGATATAGAATAACTTTCAATTAATTAAGGTTTTTAGTTCAGATAAAAAAGTCAGTGTCACGAGCGGGATTCGAACCCACGACCTTCGGCTTGATACGCCGCTACTCTACCACGTGAGCTATGACTTCGATCCACTTATGAAACTTCCCATCTCAACCCCACCTTTTGAATTTTTCCACCTGTTTGCCATGCCACACTGACTTTTTTATCTCAACTAAAATCCTTAATTAATTGAATGTTACTAATTGGTCAAGCGGACCACGATAACTAGTGAAAAATGGCAAAAAGGAGGGAAAATTCAAAAGGTGGGGTTGAGATGGGAAGTCAAGTGGTAGAGAGGCGGCGTATCAATCCGGTCTTGGGTTCGAATCCCGCTCGTGACATTGACTTTTTTATCTTAACTAAAAACCTTAATTAATTGAATGTAAAAATATTACGTAGAGAATAAAATACCAAAATTAATTTATCATAAAAATATAATATTATAATTTTATATAATTTTTTAGTTTATGAAATTAATTGGTCCAGGCAACTGGTTCACAGCTAATCCATAAAAAATAAAAAAAAAATAAAGGATTTTAGTTGAGATAAAAAAGTCAGTGTCACGAGCAGGATTCGAACCCACGACCTTCGGCTTGATACGCCGCTGCTCCACCGCTTGAGCTATCGTGACTTCGATCCACTCGGACACTAACTTCCCACCTCAACCCCACCTTTTAAATTTTCCATCCTTTTTGCCATTTTTCATTAATTGATTGAAAGCAATGTAAAAATATTACGTATATTGGTCAAGCGGACCACGAAAACTAGTAAATTTAATATAGAACAACCTTCTCAAATATTGACGTATTTTCTTGGGACACCCTGTATATTCCTGATTTCTTATGTTATATTTATCAAACAACTTCGATCCTTCAATATCTACTTTTTGTATATTCATTGGTCTAGTTATTTACAATGCACGCTTTGGTTAACACATTAAACTTTTTTTTCAGAAAAAGAAACAACTTAGAAAGCTGATTTGTGAAGAGGAAAAAAAGAAGTAAAACTATAAATATAATATTTATATACAATGGGCTCATAATTACATATTGTACACTAATATTTTTTGTTCAATACTGCTTTTTAAACTATAAAACAAAAATGTGGTAAAGTTTAGTCCTGGTTTTCTTGGGCCGTTTTTATGTAATTTCTTTACAAGAATTTTAGGTCAAAAGAGAAGGGAAAACGTATTCAAATGCAATTTACCAGATAGAATTTTCTAAAAATGCTGAGAAAAGAGGTATTTTGACTCTTTGAGCGAAGGCGCCGATAAAATTGAGTCTCCGTGTTAATTCACCGGATTCTTCATGAATGGGCCAAAAAGCTGGACATAGAAATAAATTTGCCTCCCGATTGTAACGGCCATCTCACCCCAGGAGATATTTGTCTTTTCCCTCGGGGCAGTTTCGATCCGGGTGACGGAAAAGAAGGCTCGACACAAGCCGCATAGAATTTAGGGAACGGGCAACCTATTGTATTAGACCGTCCCGAAGAAAAAGTCGCGGATGGCAATAAAAGGGGAAAGGGGCTAGGAGAGGCAGTTGTAAGGGTCGGCCTCCGGAGAGATTGAAGGATATTGGTGGCGGGTTTATTTACATGCGGTATGGGAGGGTGGATATAGACATTTGTCTGTGGGCGAGTCACATTCTGCGCGCCATCCCTTATCAGACTGACACCACTCTATATTGCTACCCTTCTCCTTCCTTCTGTTCCTTTCATTCGGCGAACGTATATACTTCGAAATTACTTGCCGATATCAAAAGATTAATCGCGTTCCCTATACCTTTTGGCAAATAGTGATTCAAGATTGAAAATTTCGCAACCATAAAGTTTAAAAAACATGTTCCTTTACTGTGCGCTAGCATGTTCACTTTTAAGATAAAAAGTCACAAAAAATCAGTTTCTTTGAGTTAGGTTTAAAATCTTCAATACGTCATCTTACAATTCAACTTTATAAAATAAATTCTCCATCCGTTTTGACAGAAAAAGTAAAATAATTATTTTAAAATATTGTATGTTTTCCATTCATCAGTAGGGTGATGAACCACCAGTCTTGGTATTTTGATTCCTACCTTGTGTTTTTGAGGTAGCTTAAAAGGTTTAATAAGAGATAAAGAGAAAATGGAATATCAACGTTTATTTTTTACTTGTTGTTCATGTTGTTAAAATTATGGACCAGTATCGTTATTGTACCTATCTTGGAGTTTTGATTTCTATCTTTTTTTGAGGTAGCTTCAAAGATATTCGGAGATCGTGGGATGCAGTCTGGTGTGACGTAAATTTTAGAAAAACATTTTCTTTCTGAGCTTGAAATGTTTAAAGAGGAATAAGAGGAAATGGAATATCAAGGTTTTTTCTTACTTTCTGTTGTCAAGGTGATGAACCAGTATCGTTATTGTGCCTATCTTGATGTTTTGATTCATATTTTCTCGTTTTGAGGTTGCATGAAAAGTTTAAACAGAGATAAAGAAGAATTGGAATATCAAGGTTTTCTCTTATTTGCTGTTCATGTTGTGTTCTGTTTACATCTTTCTTTCTTTTTATCTTTTTCTTATATCTTTTTTTTATCTTCTTTTTTGAGGTAGCATGAAAGGTTTATAGAGAGATAAAAAGGAAATGGAATACCAACGTTTTTTCTTATTTGCTGTTCTTGTTATTAAGGTTATGAACCAGTATCGTTATTGTGCCTGTCTTGGTATTTTGATTCCTATTTTCTTTTTTTGAGGTAGCTCAAAAGGTTTAAAGAGTATTAAAGAGGAAATGGAATATCCAGGTTTTTTCTTATTTGCTGTTCTTGTTGTGTTCTGTTTACATCTTTTTTTTAAATATTTTTCTTTTATCTTTTTTTTATTTTCTTTTTTGAGGGAGCTCAATAGTTTTAATGAGGATTAAAAAGGAAATAGAATACCAAGGTTTTTTCTTACTTGCTGTTCGTGTTGTTCAGGTGATGAATCTGTATCGTTATTGTGTCTATCTTGATGTTTTGATCTTCTTTTTTTGAAGGAGCTCAAAAGTTTTTAAAAGGATTAAAAAGGAAATGGAATACCAAGCTTTTTTCTTATTTGCTGGTCGTGTTGTTAAGGTGATGAATCTGTATCGTTATTGTGTCTATCTTGATGTTTTGATTCCTATCTTCTTTTTTTGAGATTGCTCAAAAGGTTTAAAGAGTATTTAAGAGGAAATGGAATATCCAGGTTTTTCTTATTTGCTGTTCATGTTGTGTTCTGTTTACATCTTTTTTTATCTTTATCTTTTTCTTTTATCTTTTTGTATCTTCTTTTCTTGAGGTAGATGGAAAGGTTAATAGAGAGATAAAAAGGAAATGGAATACCAACATTTTTTCTTACTTGCTGTTTGTGTTGTTAAGTTATGTACCATTATCGTTATTGTGCCTATCTTGGTGTTTTGAGTTCTATATTTTTTTGAGGTAGCTTGAAAGATTATTCGGAGCTCGTGAGATGCGGTCTGGTGTGACATAGGTTTTAGAAAAACATTTTCTTTTTGAGCTTGAAAGGTTTAAAGAGGAATAAGAGGAAATGGAATATCAAGGTTTTTTTCTTACTTTCTGTTGTTAAGGTGATGAACCAGTATCGTTATTTTGCCTGTCTTGGTATTTTGATTCCTATTTTCTTTTTTTGAAGTAACTGAAAGGTTTAATGAGGGATAAAAAGGAAATGGAATATCAAGGTTTTTTCTTGCTGTTCGAGTTGTTAAGGTAATGGATCAGTATCGTTATTGTGCCCATCTTTGAATTTTGGTTCCTAACTTCTTTTTTGAGGTAGCTTGGAAGGTTTAAAGAGTGATCAAGAGGAAATGGAGTATCATGTGTTGTCTTACTTGCTCCTCTTCTTACTTCTTGCTTGAAAAGGTTGATCACGACCCCGACGCTCCTGAACTCATTACATAATTTGATGGTGGAATCAAATATGTGACATTTTATTACCTATTTGATAGAAAACGAAAGAGTTATCATGAAAGGGGTCTAAAGAATTTGTTTTAATGAAACAATGGTAGATGAAGAGTTGGATAACAAGGAGAGGTATTAAATGGTTGTATGTTTGCCCATATGAAATTAGCGGCATTGTTACCGATCTTCTGGTTTGTGTTTAGCTTTTAAGATACTACGGAATAATTTGGAAGAATTTGCTCCGGTCGTGAATGCATTTTGATAGAGGTGAGGATTGGAGGATTATCCGCTGTATATTGTTGAAGCAAACAGAGTTATCATATGTGAATAGACATTCAAAGAATTAACTGTACTGAGATGATGGTAGGTGAAAAGTGGATATGTAGAAAAGACTATCGAGACTGTTGACGTTTTCTGGCCTGACATTTAGATTTTAAGAGACAGCAGACATAATTTTGAAGAATGGTGATGCACCCTTCCACGTCATTGCACACATGATCTGGTACCTTAACACATCTGTGCTACTATTTGAGCACCCGCCGTCCGTTTGCTGATCAAAAGCCAACCCTCGAATTTAGCTGTTCTTAAGAGAGTTCTCCACACTCTCAAGACTACACCATTATGCTTTACCTGGAAACCCCCCTTGTATCCAAGGGTTAGAAAAGTTTTTAAGGAAATATGCCATGGGACGTGGATTGGGACAAGGAAATGCCCGAGAACGCCAGGCTGACCTTTTTAGCTTGCGCCCCTCGCCCATTGCATAATGTACTTAAGGAAAAGTATCCACGAACACACTGCAAGTCCTGTCAACACGAGTTCCAGTAGTCCTACAAGCCCGGTATTATTGCGCCATATAGGAGTTGAAAAATGAAAAGGAACCATGCATACCGGTTGCCAGTGTGAAGGAGGCGTCAGAATGGGTAGACCAAAAGTGGCAACTAAGAAAAGGGCGCCACATGTAGCTCTCCTCCTCAAATCTGAAGAAGACAATGGAAGCACTTCCAACCGGACACTATATGTCCCAATTGATGACGGATCATTTTGATTTTTCTACCAGACTGCAAGAATTTATGATTAAGACCTCTCCAGCATGAGAGTTTGCGGAACGGAAACCGTGGGACGTTTTGCCTTTGAGAGTCCACGACATATTCAAGCCTGAACACGAGGGCTTTTTAACTGAATGCCCGAGAATCAAACATGGACAGTCTGCGTAAAGCAATTGCCTACCCTGAGGGCTACCGACCTACCCCGAGAAAATGTGACGTGCAGTTATGCGCAACAAAGAATGGCCCACGTAACCTCCGAATCCGTGCGTAAATTCCCTATAAATGAGCGCAAACATGCTAGCAGATGTCCATATTGAAATACACAAATGCAAATACAATCATTCTCATCCCTCCATTATCCCGACCGGAATTGCGTTGCGAAGATTAGGCGGAGAGATGTAGCACGACCGCAAAGCGACATTGACCGTTTACCTCTGCAAGACTCTCTGTGCTCAGGAGCAGAGGCAAGAAAAGAAGACATAGCGGCATAATGTATAACCCTTTGGCAACGTGATTGCCAAAATATCAAGGTACGGTCCCCCTGGGTGGATGAAATAGGTGAGAACGATCGTTCAAGCGCCGAAGTCCCGATGTCCTCAGCTCGACGGATAATTCTAAAATTGTGTTCCGCCCTACACATAGTACGGATTAAAAGCCGTTCATTCTCAGATACCTTTCTCCACATGGGTGTATTTAGGGGAAAGGAAGTCTCTCCCCTGATCATCAGGCAACGAGTGTCCCCAGGGCTTCGCAAGCTCACCCTTTCGGGTTGCGCCTGCACCACCCCCTGCAACTTCACTGAATGAACAAGTTGCGATCCACTTTTAGTTCGGTCGCCGGAAAGGCCTTAACAGTGGTTGCCTCCGGTCTCGGGAGGTTGTGTGAGGTACACATGTACCGATAGGGTGCAGTATACTGCTGACAAGATGGTAGGTGTTGAGTAGAGAGTGAGTTCGAGATAACTTTATTGGAGTTAGCGGATTCCGTTAAGTTGAGATTATGTTGTAAGGTTGTCCTGCAAGGATTAAGGAACCAACTTGAGCTCGTTATCCTTTAACATCACATCTATACGTTT